CTAGGGAAACTTACCAGTAGGCAAAATCAGTGACCAATGTGCATGCGCAGAGAGGTGACTGGACGCTGAGGAGCTTCCTTTGTCCAGCTGCTGTGGCCTGCACTCTGGGGTGGAGGGGTACATCTGTGGGGGATGTGGACCAGAGCCCCTCCCGGATTTCGGCACCAGATGTAAGGTTCTTGTATCAGTTTGAACCCCAAGAGTGCGCCAACAGACAACACGAAGCGATGTGGAGCAACATGCTGTTTTAATAAGCAGCTAAGTGTAGGTAGGTTGAGGCCTAAAATGGCATCAGCCCCAAGTGAGGACGGAGCAAAGGCTTTATAGCCCTCTGTAAACAGAAAGTGTCCCAGTCTGACGTGACTGTTACCTTGTACCCGGATGACCTCTTTGTCGATCTTCAGGGGTATATGTCTTCGGCGAGGGTAGGTGTCTTCCAGCCTGCTCTCTTCCTGCTCCTGCTATCTTGCTGGTGCACGCTGCTAGCGCTAGTTGCACCTTGCAACTGGGCCTGAGAAGGGAAGAGTTATTCATCTCCTTAAGCTTTCAAGCCCTGGGTAGAATCTTACAGATATCAGTGACTGAAGGTCAATTTAATAAAATAAAGAGAGAAGACAAGATTAGATAAAAAAGAATAAAAAGGAATGAACAAAGCCTCCAAGATACATGGGACTTTGTGAAAAGACCAAATCTACATTTGATTGGTGTACCTGAAAGGGATGGGGAAAATGGAACCAAGTCGGAAAACACTCTTCAGGATATTTTCCAGGAAAACTTCCCCAACCTAGCAAGACAGGCCAACATTCAAATTCAGGAAACACAGAGAACACCACAAAGACACTCCTCAAGAAGAGCAACCTCAAGACACATAATCATCAGATTCACCAACGTTGAAATGAAGGAAAAAAATATTAAGGACAGCCAGAGAGAAAGGCTGGGTTATCCACAAAGGGAAGCCCATCAGACTAACGGTGGATCTCTCTGCAGAAGCCCTACAGGCCAGAAGAGAGTGGGCGCCAATATTCAGTCTTCTTAAAGAAAAGAATTTTCAACCCAGAATTTCATATCCAGCCAAATTAAGCTTCATAAACAAAGGAGAAATAAAATTCTTTACAGACAAGCAAATGCTGAGGGATTTTGTCACCACCAGACCTGCCTTACAAGAGCTCCTGAAAGAAGCACTAAACATGGAAAGGAACAACTGCAAAAACATACCAAATTGTAAAGAACATTGACATTGTGAAGCAACTGCATTAACTAACAGGCACATTAACCAGCTAGCATCATAATGACAGGATCAAATGCACACATAACAATATTAACCTTCTATGTAAATGGGCTAAATGCCCCAATTAAAAGACACAGACTGGCAAATTGGATAAAGAGTCAAGACCCATTAGAGTGCTGTATTCAGGAGACCCATCTCACATGCAAAGACACACATAGGCTCAAAATAAAGGGATGGAGGAATATTTACCAAGCAAATGGAAAGCAAAAAAAAAGCAGGAGTTACAATCCTAATCTCTGATAAAACAGACTTTAAACCAACAAAGATCAAAAGAGACAAAGAAGGACATTATATAACGGTAAAGGGAACAATGCAGCAAGAAGAGCTAACTATCCTGAATATATATGCACCCAATACAGGAGCACCTAGATTCATAAAGCAAGTTCTTAGAGACCTACAAAGAGACTTAGACTCCCACACAATAATAATGGGAGACTTTAACACCCCACTGTCAATATTAGACAGATCAACAGGACAGAAAATTAACAAGGATATTCAGGACTTGAGCTCAGCTCTGGACCAAGAGGACCTAATAGACATCTACAGAACTCTCCACTCCAAATCAACAGAATATACATTCTTCTCAGCACCTCATCACACTTATTCTTAAGTTGACCACATAATTGGAAGTAAGACACTCCTCAGCAAATGCAAAAGAATGGAAATCATAACAAACAGTCTCTCAGACCACAGTGCAATCAAATTGGAACTCAGGATTAAGAAACTCACTCAAAACCGCACAAATACAAGGAACCTGAACAACCTGCTCCTGAATGACTACTGGGTAAATAACCAAGTGAAGGCAGAAATAAAGATGTTCTTTGAAAACAATGAGAATGAAGACACAACATACTAGAATCTCTGGGACACATTTAGAGTAATATTTAGAGGGAAATTTACAGCACTAAATGCCCACAAGAAAAAGCAGAAAATATCTAAAATTGACACCCTAATATAAAAATTAAAAGAACTAGAGAAGCAATAGCAAACAAATTCAAAAGCTAGCAGAAGACATGAAATAACTAAGATCAGAGCAGAACTGAAGGAGATAGAGACACAAAAAACCTTTCAAAAAATCAATGAATCCAGGACCTATTTTTAAAAAAATCAACAAAATAGGTAGATCGCTAGCCAGATTAATAAATAAGAAAATAGAGAAGAATCGAATAGATGCAAAAAAAAAAAAAAAAAAGATACAGGGTATATCACCACTGATCCCACAGAAAACCTTCTTAAGCTGATAAGCAACTTCAGCAAAGTCTCAGGATACAAAATCAATGTGCAAAAATAACAAGCATTCCTATACACCAATAACAGACAAACAGAAAGCCAAATCATGAGTGAACTCCCATTCACAATTGCTGCTAAGAAAATAAAATACCTAGGAATACAACTTACAAGAGATATGAAGGACCTCTTCAAGGAGAACTGCAAACCACTGCTCAAGGAAATAAGAGAGGACACAAAGAAATGGAAAAACACTCCATGCTCATGGATAGGAACAATCAATATCATGAAAATGGCCATACTGCCCAAAGTAATTTATAGTTTCAATGCTATCCCCATCAAGCTACCACTGACTTTCTTCACAGAATTGGAAAAAAACTACTTTAAACTTCATATGGAACCAAAAAAGAGGCTGCATAGCCAAGACAATCCTGGGCAAGAAGAATAAAGCTGGAGGCATCACACTACCTAACTTCAAACTATACTACAAGGCTACAGTAACTGAAACAACATGGTACTGGTACCGAAACAGATACATAGACCAATGGAACAGAACGGAGGCCTCAGAAATAACCCCACACAGCTACAACCATCTGACCTTTGATAAACCTGACACACACAAGCAATGGAGAAAATATTCCCTATTTAATAAATGATGTTGGGAAAACTGGCTAGCCATATGGAGAAACTGGACCCCTTCATTACAACTTTTACAAAAATCAACTCAAGATGGATCAAAGACTTAAACGTAAGACCTAGGACCATAAAAATCCTAGAAGAAAATACCACTTGGCAATACCACTCAGGACATAGACATGGGCAAAGACTTCATGTCTAAAACACCAAAATCAATGGCAACAAAAGTCAAAATTGACAAATGGGATCTAATTAAACTAAACAGCTTCTGCACAGCAAAAGAAACTATCATCAGAGTGAACAGGCAACCTACAGAATGGGGGAATATTTTTGCAATCTATCCATCTGACAAAGGGCTAATTACTAGAATCTACAAAGAAACAAATTTACAAGAAAAAAACAACCCCATCAAAAAATGGGCAAAGGATATGAACAGACACTTCTCAAAAGAAGACATTTATGCAGCCAACAGCCATATGAATAAATGCTCATCATCACTGGTCATTAGAGAAATGCAAATCAAAACCACAATGAGATACCATCTTAAGCCAGTTAGAATGGCGATCATTGAAAAGTCAGGAAGCAACAGATTCTGGAGAGGTTGTGGAGAAATAGGAAAGCTTTTACATTGTTGGTGGGAGTGTAAATTAGTTCAACCATTGTGGAAGACAGTGTGGCAATCCCTCAAGGATCTAGAATTGGAAATACCATTTGACCCAGCAATCCCATTACTGAGCACATACCCAAAGGATTATAAATCATTCTACGATAAAGACACAGGCACACGTGTATTTACTGTGGCACTATTCACAATAGCAAAGACTTGGAACCAACCCAAATGTCCATCAATGATAGAGTGGATTAAGAAAATGTGGCGCATATACACCATGGAATACTATGCCACCATAAAAAAGGATGAGTTCATGTTCTTTGCAGGGACATGGATGAAGGCGGAAACCATCATTCTCAGCAAACTATCACAAGATCAGAAAACCAAACACTGCATGTTCTCACTCATAAGTGGAAGTTGAACAATGAGAACACAGGGACACAGGGAGGGGAATATCACACACGGTAGGATGCAGGCCTGTCAGGAGGTGGGGGAGAATGAAAGGGAGGGATAACATTAGGAAAAATACCTAATGTAGGTGATGGGTTGATGGGTGCAGCAAACCCCCAGGGCACGGGTATACCTATGTAACAAAACTGCACATGTAACCCAGAACTTAAAGTATATATATATATATGTGTGTGTGTGTATATATATATGTGTGTGTATATATATATATACATATATATATATATATAAAAGGAATGGCTAAACATTATTTTTTAGGCTAAACATTATTTTTTAAATCAAGGCCATTTCAAAGCCCTTACTTCACTGGATTCTCAGCCAGTGTTGCCCCCAGAGCAGAAGGCAGCTGTGGGAAGCAGAAGGGTGGCCCCACCTTCACCTGGAAGATTCCTGCTCAGATCCTGGGTCACCTGCCCCACTGATGATGCCCCAGCTGCTGCTGCTGGGAAGCCGAACCCAGAACTCCCTCAGGTCTGGTCCTCACTCCGCCCCCCAGCACCCCTAGTGCGGCCACGCAGGAGGATGGAGCCCCGAGGCTGCAGGGGCGGAAGCGGGTGGGTCAAGGCTCGCCTCGCCCCACCCTCAGGTGTTGGTTTTTGTTTTTTAAACCAAACAGAGCAGAGAGGGGCGAGGAAGCAAAAGTGACTCAAATTCAGGGCAAGCCAGAGCCTGCGGAGGCAGCAGCAATCCCTGTGCTGGGCACACGCCCAAGGCTGGCTTTGGGGTCATAGAATAATCAAAGATGACACTTTGGGCCTGTCCTCTCCCCAGCTCTCCTAGGCAAAGTCGGTGCGTCTGAGGAGTCAGCCTGGACTCGAACTTTTGACACTGGACCGCTGCTGGCTTGCTGCCGGGACCCGAGGGGCCCGAGGACACAGGGAGGGGCATGGAGGGGGAAAGCAGCCAGACTCCGCCCAAGCAATTTAGGCGTCTGCCTCGTCTGTGGTTTCCCACACCCCCAGCTCACCGAGTGGCGGGACAGCTCCTGGAGATCCCCAGGGAGGCAGGGTCCAGGGATTGCGGTGAGGCCCTGCGCCCAGGACGGCTGCGCCCCACCTGAGGGAAGAGTCACTCCAGTCCCTCTGGGCTGGTCCACGTGCAACCACGGTAGGACGCAGATCATCTCCAGTGAAACGGGGAGGGAGGAAGGGTGTGCTTCCCTGTTCCTTCCCCACCCTCCCGGGGAGGGGCGGTTGCCCTTAGCAACGGGATGCCCACGTGGGATACTGGAAATCTCAGCCTACCCCATCCCACCTCTCCAGGCCCGGTTTCTCCTGGGCGCAAGGGGTTACTTCAGAGCTGTCAGGCCTCCACAGTAGCACATTAAATGTTCTGGAAACTAGGAGATGTGGCACTGCTGTACAACGGTCAGGAATAGCCATCCTGTCCTCCTGACCAGGTGAAAACCAACTTCTGCTGGGAAGGAGCATGGGGTGGCACCTGGCCTTTGGAGTCAGGAAGAACCAGGCTTAAGTAACAGAACTGCCTGACCTCCAGCTTGTCACTTCAGCTCGCAGGTCCATGCTTCACTTGGGATGATTGGGTGGGGCACATAAGAAGCTGTGTTCATTCTTTCCTGACCCTCAGAATTCCTGTGCTCTCAGGGTGCTGGGTGCTGTTTCAGGTCCCAGTACACAGCACAGAGTGCACAGCAGGCCCCCGCGGAGGATCAACACAGTGGCTGAACACCGGGAAGGAACGGGCACTTTAAGTCTGCACATCTGAAACTTGGTAAGGCTAGTCTTTGGAACTTGCCAACTCCATTTGAGTGGAAGCGTGGCCTGATCACCCACGGCGTGCCTGTACTGGCACTTTGGTTTTTGTTTTTGACTTGACTTGAATTGTTTGATACTTTGGTTTTGGTTTTGACCTGGCTCGGATTTCTGGATACTCTGATTTTGGTTTTGATTCTGGTTTGGTATAAACTGAAAAAGTGTGTGTGTGCCCTTTTTTACCTTTTCTTTGTTTTGTGGTGTGCGTGTGATGTGAGCGTGGTGTTTTGTCTCGTAGGAAACATGGGTCAGACACAAAGTGAGCCCACTCCGCTAGGAACTATGTTGAAAAATTTTAAGAAGGGATTTAACAGAGACTATGGGGTTACTATGACACCAGGAAAACTTAGAAGTTTGTGTGAAATAGATTGGCCATCATTAGAAGTGGGTTGGCCATCAGAAGGAAGCCTGGACAGGTCCCTTGTTTCTAAGGTATGGCATATGTCACAAGGTAACTGGTAAGTCAGGACACGCAGACCAGTTCCCATACATAGACACTTGGTTACAGCTGGTGCTAGACCCCCCACAGTGGCTAAGAGGGCAAGCAGCAGCAGTGCTAGTGGCAAAGGGACAGATAGCCAAGGAAGGATCCCGCTCCACTCACCGAGGGAAATCAACTCCTGAAGTTCTGTTCGACCCAACATCAGAAGATCCATTGAAGGAGATGGCACCAGTGATCCCAGTGGTGCCCTCCCCTTACCAGGGAGAGAGGCTCCCCACTCTTGAGCCCATAGAGCTTGCCCCTCCGCAAGACAAACATATCCCTAGGCCACCCAGAGTAGATAAGAGAGGAGGTGAAGCCTCAGGAGAAAGCCCTCCCTTGGCAGCTCTTTTGCGATCCAAAACTGGCGTACAAATGCCCCTGAGAGGGCAGCGGTATACTGGGATAGATGAGGATGGTCACATGGTGGAGAGGCGTGTTTTTGTGTACCAGCTCTTCACCTCTGCCGACCTTCTCAACTGGAAAAACAATACCCCGTCCTATACTGAAAAGCCACAAGCTCTAATTGATTTGCTCCAAACTATTATCCAGACCCATAACCCCACTTGGGCTGATTGCCACCAGTTGCTCATGTTCCTTTTTAACACAGGTGAAAGGTGGAGAGTGCTCCAAGCAGCAACCAAGTGGCTAGAGGAACATGTACCAGCTGATTACCAAAACCCCCAAGAGTATGTAAGGACCCAGTTACCAGGAACCGACCCCTGGTGGGACCCAAATAAAGGGGGGGTGTGCAAAGGCTGAACCGATACAGGGAGAAGCTCTCCTGGAAGGATTAAAGAGGGGAGCCCAGAAGGCCACAAACGTTAACAAGGTCTCTGAGGTCATTCAGGGAAAAGAAGAAAGTCCAGCACAATTCTACGAGAGACTGTGTGAGGCCTATCATATATATACTCCCTTTGATCCCGATAGCCCTGAAAATCAGCGCATGATTAACATGGCTTTAGTAGTCAAAGCGCAGAAGACATTAGAAGAAAACTGCAGAAACAGGCTGGGTTTGCAGGGATGAATATATCACAGTTATTAGATATAGCTCACCAGGTGTTTGTAAACAGGGATGCAGTAAGCCGTAAGGAAAATCGCAAAGAGAATGAACGCCAGGCCCGGCGAAACGCCAACCTGTTGGCTGCAGCAATTAGAGGGGTCCCCCTAAAGAGGCAAGGGAAGGGCGGCTCTGGGAAAGAAACTCAGCCTGGCTGTCAGAGTCTGCAGCGTAACCAGTGTGCTTATTGTAAAGAAACGGGACATTGGAAGAACAAATGCCCTCAGCTAAAAGGAAAACAAGGAGACTCAGAGCAGGAGGCCCCAGACAAGGAGGAAGAGACGCTGCTCAACCTGGCAGAAGGCTTGTTGGACTGAGGGGGACCGGGCTCAAGTGCCCCCAAAGAGCCTACGGTCAGGATGACAGTCGGGGGTAAAGACATTGATTTTCTTGTAGATACTGGTGCTGAACATTCTGTAGTAACCGCCCCAGTCGCCCCCTTATCCAAAAAGACTATTGACATAATCGGAGCCATGGGAGTTTCAGCAAAGCAAGCTTTCTGCTTGCCTCGGACTTGTACTGTAGGAGAACATAAAGCGATTCATCAGTTTTTGTACATGCCTGACTGTCCTTTGCCCTTGTTGGGAAGGGACTTGCTTAGCAAGCTGAGAGCCACTATCTCTTTTACAGAGCATGGCTCTTTGCTGCTAAACTTACCTGGAACGGGAATCATTATGACCCTTATGGTACCCCGAGAGGAGGAATGGAGGCTTTTCTTAACTGAGCTGGTCCAAGAGATAAGACCAAGCTAAGCGGTGGCCAAAAGTGTGAGCCGAAGACAACCCTCCAGGGTTAGCAGTCAACCAAGCCCACGTACTTATAGAAGTTAAGCCTGGGGCCCAGCCGGTGAGGCAAAAACAGTACCCGGTCCCCAGAGAAGCTCTTGAAGGTATCCAGGTCCATCTCAAGCGCCTAAGAACCTTTGGAATTATAGTTTCTTGTCAGTCTCCATGGAATACTCCCCTCCTGCCGGTTCCGAAGCCAGGGACCAAGGACTACAGGCCAGTACAGGATTTGCGCTTGGTTAATCAAGCTACAGTGACTTTACATCCAACGGTACCTAACCCGTACACATTGTTGGGGTTGCTGCCAGTTGAGGACACCTGGTTCACCTGCTTGGACCTGAAAGACGCTTTCTTTAGCATCAGATTAGCCCCTGAGAGCCAGAAGCTCTTTGCCTTTCAGTGGGAAGATCCGGAGTCAGGTGTCACTACTCAGTACACTTGGACCCAGCTTCCCGAAGGGTTCAAGAACTCCCCCACCATCTTTGGGGAGGCATTGGCTCGAGACCTCCAGAAGTTTTCCACCAGAGACATAGGTTGCGTGTTGCTCCAGTACGTCGATGACCTTCTGCTGGGACACCCCACAGCAGTTGGGTGCGCCAAGGGAACGGATGCCCTACTCCGGCACCTGGAGGACTGTGGGTATAAAGTGTCCAAGAAAAAAGCTCAGATCTGCCTACAGAAGGTATGTTACCTGGGATTTACTATCCGACAGGGGGAGCGCAGCCTGGGATCAGAAAGAAAGCAGGTCATTGGCAATCTACCGGAGCCTAAGAGCAGAAGACAGGTGAGAAAATTCTTAGGAGCTGTGGGATTTTGCAGACTGTGAATACCAAACTTTGCAATAGTAGCCAAGCCTTTGTATGAGGTCACAAAGGAGGGGGGGACCGGGAACTTTTTGAATGGGGATCCCAACAACAGCAAGCCTTTCATGAGTTAAAGGAAAAACGTATGTCAGCCCCGGCCCTGGGACTACCTGATCTGACAAAGCCTTTTACATTGTATGTGTCAGAGAGAGAAAAGATGGCAGTTGAAGTTTTAACCCAAAAGGTGGGGCCCTGGCTGAGGCCAGTGGCTTACCCTCTTGAAACAACTAGACGGGGTTTCTAAAGGATGGCCCCCTTGTTTGAGGGCCTTGGCAGCAACTGCTCTACTAGTACAAGAAGCAGATAAGCTGACTCTTGGGCAAAACCTGAACATAAAGGCCCCCCATGCTGTGGTGACTTTAATGAACACTAAAGGACATCATTGGTTAACGAATGCTAGACTCACCAAGTACCAAAGTTTGCTCTGTGAGAATCCCCGCATAACCATTTAGGTTTGTAATACCCTGAATCCTGCCACCTTGCTCCCAGTGTCAGAGAGCCCTGTCAAGCATGACTGTGTAGAAGTGTTGGACTCAGTTTACTCTAGCAGACCTGACCTCCGGGACCAGCCTTGGGCATCAGTAGACTGGGAACTATACGTGGATGGGAGCAGCTTCATCAACCCACAAGGAGAGAGATGTGCAGGGTATGCAGTGGTAACCCTGGACACTGTTGTTGAAGCCAGATCGTTGCCCCAGGGCACTTCAGCCCAGAAAGCTGAACTCATTGCTTTAATTCGGGCCTTAGAACTCAGTGAAGGTAAGACTGTAAACATTTACACTGATTCTCGGTATGCCTTTTTAACTCTTCAAGTGCATAGAGCATTATATAAAGAAAAGGGTCTATTGAACTCTGGGGGAAAGGACATAAAATATCAACAAGAAATCTTACAATTATTAGAAGCAGTATGGAAACCCCACAAGGTGGCAGTTATGCATTGCAGAGGACGCCAGCGAGCTTCCATCTTGGTGGGTTTGGGGAATTCCCGCGCTGACTCAGAGGCTCGAAAAGCAGCAACTGCCCCCTTCTGGGCATCAGTCACAGCCCCCCTGCTCCCTCGAGCACCTGATCTTGTACCTACTTATTCTAAAGAAGAAAAGGACTTTCTCCAGGCAGAGAGAGGACAAGAGATGGAGGAAGGATGGATTTGGTTACCAGATGGGAGAGTAGCTGTGCCACAGCTGCTAGGAGCTGCAGTTATACTGGCTGTGCATGAAACCACCCATCTAGGTCAGGAGTCACTTGAAAAGTTGCTAGGTCGGTATTTCTACATCTCGCATTTGTCAGCCCTTGCCAAAACGGTGACGCAGCAGTGTGTTACCTGCCAAAAGCATAATGCGAGACAAGGTCCAGCCGTTCCGCCTGGCATACAAGCTTATGGAGCAGCCCCCTTTGAAGACCTCCAGGTGGACTTCACAGAGATGCCAAAGTGTGGAGGTAACAAGTATTTACTAGTTCTTGTGTGTACCTAGTCTAGGTGGGTTGAGGCTTATCCAACACGAACTGAGAAAGCTCGTGAAGTAACCCGTGTGCTTCTTCGAGATCTTATTCCTAGATTTGGACTGCCCTTACGGATCAGCTCAGATAACGGGCCGGCGTTTGTGGCTGACTTGGTACAGAAGACAGCAAAGGTATTGGGGATCACATGGAAATTGCATGCTGCCTACCGGCCTCAGAGTTCAGGAAAGGTGGAGCGGATGAATCGGACTATCAAAAAGAGTTTAGGGAAAGTATGTCAGGAAACAGGATTAAAATGGATACAGGCTCTCCCTATGGTATTATTTAAAATTAGATGTACCCCTTCTAAAAGAACAGGATATTCTCCTTATGAAATATTATATCATAGGCCCCTTCCCATATTGTAGGGACTTCCAGGCACTCCCCGAGAGTTAGGTGAAATTGAGTTACAGCTACAGTTACAGGTTTTAGGGAAAATTACACAAACAATCTCAGCCTGGGTAAATGAGAGACGCCCTGTTAGCTTATTCTCCCCAGTTCACCCTTTCTTCCCAGGTGATCAAGTGTGGATCAAGGACTGGAATGTAGCCTCTTTGTGCCCACGGTGGAAAGGACCCCAGACTGTTATCTTGACCACTCCCACCGCTGTGAAGGTAGAGGGAATCCCAGCCTGGATCCACCACAGCCGTGTAAAACCTGCAGCGCCTGAAACCTGGGAGGCAAGACCAAGCCCGGATAACCCTTGCAGAGTGACCCTGAAGAAGACAACAAGCCCTGCTCCAGTCACACCCGGAAGCTGACTGGTCCACGCACGGCTGAAACATGAGGAATCTCATCGTGGGATTCATTTTTCTTAAATTTTGGACTTATACAGTAAGGACTTCAATTGACCTTACTCAAACTGGTGACTGTTCCCAGTGTATTCATCAGGTCACTGAGGTAGGACAACAAATTAAAACAATCTTTCTGTTCTATAGTTATTATGAATGTATGGGAACGTTGAAAGAAACTTGTTTGTATAATGCCACTCAGTACAAGGTATGTAGCCCGGGAAATGACCAATCTGATGTGTGTTATAACCCATCTGAGTCCCCTGCAACCACCGTTTTTGAAATAAGATTAAGAACTGGCCTTTTCCTAAGTGATACAAGTAAAATAACAACTAGAACAGAAGGAAAAGGAATCCCCAAACAAGTAATTTTAAGATTTGATGCTTGTGCAGCCATTAATAGTAACAAGCTAAGAACAGGATGTGGTTCTCTTAACTGGGAAAGGAGCTACAGAGTAGAAAATAAATATGTTTGTCTTGAGTCAGGGGTTTGTGAAAATTGTGCCTTTTGGCCATGTGTTATTTGGGCTACTTGAAAAAAGAACAAAAAGGACCCGGTTCATCTTCAGAAGGGGGAAGCCAGCCCCTCCTGTGCTGCTGGTCACTGTAACCCACTGGAACTAATAATCGCCAATCCCCTAGACCCCCATTGGAAAAAGGGAGAACGTGTAACCCTGGGGATCGATGGGACAGGGTTAAACCCCCACGTTGCTATTTTAGTCCGAGGGGAGGTCTACAGGCGCTCTCCCAAACCAGTGTTTCAAACCTTTTATGAGGAGTTGAATCTGCCAGCACCAGAATTTCCGAAAAAGACAAAAAATTTGTTTCTCCAATTAGCAGAAAATGTAGCTTATTCCCTTAATGTTAATTCTTGTTATGTGTGCAGGGGAACCACTATTGGAGACCGATGGTCTTGGGAAGCCCGAGAGTTGGTGCCCACTGATCCAGCTCCTGGTATAATTCCAGTTCAGAAGGCCCAAGCTAGCAACTTCCGGGTCTTAAAAACCTCAATTATTGGACAATACTGTATAGCTAGAGAAGGAAAAGACTTCACCATCCCTGTAGGAAAGCTTAATTGTATAGGACAGAAGTTGTACAACAGCACAACAAAAACAATTAGTTGGTGGGGCCTAAATCACACTGAAAAGAACCCATTCAGTAAATTTTCTACATTAAAAACTGCCTGGGCTCATACAGAATCTTATCAGGACTGGAAGGCTCCTGCTAGACTATACTGGATATGTGGGCACAGAGCCTATATTCGGTTACCTAATAAATGCATAGGTAGTTGTGTTATTGGCACTATTAAACCGTCCTTTTTCTTATTACCTGTAAAAACGGGTGAGCTCCTAGGTTTCCCTGTCTATGCCTCCTGAGAAAAGAGAGGCATAGTTATAGGAAACTGGAAAGATAATGAGTGGCCTCCTGAAAGGATCATACAGTATTATGGGCCGGCCACATGGGCACAAGATGGCTCATGGGGATACTGGACCCCCATTTCCATGCTCAATCGGATCATACGGTTGCACGCTGTCTTAGAAATAATTACTAATGAAACTGGCAGAGCTTTGACTGCTTTAGCTCGGCAGGAAACCCAAATGAGAAATGCTATCTATCAGAATAGACTGGCCTTGGACTACCTGCTGGCAGCTGAAGGAGGAGTCTGTGGAAAATTTAACTTAACCAATTGCTGCCTACAAATAGATGATCAAGGACAGGTGGTTGAAAACATAGTCAGGGACATGACAAAGTTGGCACATGTGCCCGTACAGGTTTGGCATGAGTTTGATCCTGAGTCTTTATTTGGAAAATGGTTTCCAGATATAGGAGGATTTAAAACCCTCGTTGTAGGTGTATTGCTAGTAATAGGAACTTGCTTGCTGCTCCCCTGTGTATTACCCTTGCTTTTTCAAATAATAAAAATTTTATTGTTACTTTGGTTCATCAGAAAACTTCAGCACATGCGTATTATATGAATCACTATCGCTCTATCTTGCAGAGAGACTCAGAAAGTGAAGATGAGAGTGAGAACTCCCACTGAAAAAGTGAAAATTCTCAAAGGGGGGAAATATAGAATGGGACCACCACTTCTCCTGCTGTCTTTCCCAGCTTTTCCCCTCTCCCCTTTTCCCTAGTTTATAAGACAGGAGAAGAGAGAGAAAGCAAAAAGTTGGAAAGAAACAGAAATAAGATAAATAGCTAGACGACCTTGGCACCACCACCTGGCCCTGATGGTTAAAATAATAATGATAATATCAACCCCTGACCAAAACTACTAGTGTTACCTGTAAATTCCAGACATTGTATGAGAAAACACTGTAAAACTTTTTGTTCTGTTAGCTGATGCATGTAGCCCCTCGTCACGTTTTCCACGCATGCTTGATTTATCATGACCCAAAAAGGCCACGTATTTCTTCTTCTGGGAGCTTGGTTCTTAAGACGCGAGTCTGCTGACGCTCCCGGCCGAATAAAAAACCTCTTCCTTCTTTAATCCGGTGTCTGAGGAGTTTTGTCTGTGGCTTGTCCTGCTACACTGCCATCTAAAGGAAGAGATGATGATACTACTTCCACTACCGGAGAAGGTACACACCCCCCGTGTTATTGTTCCTCATAACTTGTGGGGGAGAGCATGATATTACTTCCAATATGACAGTGGCTTGACACCCAGTCTGTGATATTTCTCCTAATTTCCAGTAGGTAAAGTATGATGTTCCTGCCAAGAGAGTAGTGGGTGTACAGCCGCCCTGTGATATGTCTCCAAATATTCAGGGAAACACAGGAGGACATTACCCCAAATCTCCCAAAAAGTGTACACCCATTGTGTGGTATGGTTCCTAATATCCGGAGGTGAGATAGGAGAAGGATGGTATTCTTCTCCTATCGCAGGCTGTGTACACAAAACTTGTGAAATTGTTCCTAATATCCTGAACAATGGAGATTGTTAGTAATGGACACGCATTGCAGGGGGAGTAATGATTACGATCCACATCGTAATGGTGAGTAATAGCAAACCCCTCTCTCCCCCTCGCTGTTACGATCCTCATCGCAGGGGGGTGAGGCACCCTCCACGATATCGGGAGTAATAGGATCCCCCTCTCTCCCCCTGGCCTTATATAAGGATCCTGGCCTTATATAAGTGCCCCCCAATGCCATCATAGACTTTAGTGTATTCACTTAAAGTTTTTTCCTCATTTAGATCTGCCAATCCCTTAATAGGTCTAATTGCTGCCTGACATTCTGTATTAACATTTTCATGAGCAAGCAGCTGAACGATCACTTTCTTGGCGTGAGAATCGGAAATAGCCTTTTGAGCCGCATCCAGCAAAGGAGTGATAGAATCTGGAAAAGGCTCCCTTGGACCCTGTTGGACTGTGTTAAAAGAAAGATAAGCAGAACCAGCGTCGTGAATTTTTTCCCAGGCTCTTAGGCATGTAGTTCTGAGCTGATCAACAGCCTTATCACCCATTACCATCTGTTGATTTAGAGTACTCCATGCCTGTCCGATTCCAAGCAATTGATCAGATGTGATATTAACGGGACGTTGGTCTTGAGCATTTCTGCGTGCCTGATTTGTTGCTTCATCTGTCCACCAGGTTTTCAATTGGAGAAATTCACAGGGGGACAGGGTGGATCGGGCTAATGCCTCCCAATCCATACGTATTCAACGTCTGTTACGAGCCACACGTTGTAACAAGGAATGAACGTAAGGAGAATTTGGCCCATATTGTCCAATTGTTTGCTTTAAGTCTTTTAATATTTTAAAAGGAAATGGCTCCCAGCATGCTTGAGCAAGTTCTCTGGCCTCCTCAGCTGGCGAAATAACAACCAGAAACTGCCAAGCATTCAAATCCCCCATTTCTTGTGCCTGGCAAATGGATGCCTGGATTGTCCCTGTGCCATAATTTGTATTTGGGCCGGCTCACAGCACTCCTCTACATAGTTAGCAGGTGGGCAAGCCTGGATCATTCACTTATGGTAATTGGCTGTTGGACAAGCCTGAAGCTTCCTTTCGCCATAGTTACTGGCGGGGTCTGCAACAATGGGAGCCGCAAGGCGCATCTCAGGCTCCCCTTCCAAAAATTCCTAAGTCTGGCATGGAGATGGCCATTCCAGACCTTCCCCTAAAGGCGCAGTAGGTGGCACTGTTTCTTTTCTACGTTTTTGGAGATTAGCTTACATACCTTCTCGTTTCTCGCCCTTTTTAAAACTAGACTGTCATGGTTCACTTTGCTGATAATTAGAATCCTGATTATTCAACTTTCCTATGTCATCCTGAAACTCCTCCTCCTCCTCCTCAGTGTGGAAGGGCTCCAGTGCTGTTTTAATTGCCGATCACACAGACCAAGCAGAGAGGGGAATATTGTGGCCCTCTTGTGCTGGTTTTAAGTCTGATCCGACCTTGTCCCAATCTTCTACATTCATGGTTCCATATTCCGGGAACCAAGGAGAATACTTGTCTACCAGACGGAACAAAGATGTGAGATTTTGGGTACTCACAATTACCCCTCCGCGGCGCAGTAACTGCAGTACAAGGCTTAAGTAATTAGTGAACTTACTCTCTGCCTGACCTATATTTTCCTGAGGTTTCCCTGGAATTCTCCGAGCGCCCTCCTTACCCTAGAGCTTGAAGTGAAAACCTACTCGGGAGTCCTTTGTCGGTCGTCCTCAGCTTTCCACGCTCTGGTGTTCCTTCACTGGATTGTTTGTAGAGATTACGGGGAGCCCCGCATTGGGCACCAGAGACCAGCCTGGGCAACCGAGGGAGACCCCCGTTTCTACCGAAAAAAAAAAATTAGCTAGATGTGGTGTCGCGTGCCTGTAATCCCAGCTACTCCATGAGAAATCAGACAAAACCTGGCACCAGAGACTGATTTTCTTCTAAAATGCTTTCTCCAAAATATTGTTAAAACAAAAGGGGGAAATTGGAAAGGAAAATATTTTGGGTCCCCCAAATCACTAAGATAAAGGGAAAAGCCAGTCTGGGAACTGCTTAGGGCAAACTTGCCTCCCATTCTATTCAAAGTCATCTGCTGCTCGATAAGAAGAATGCATATCTTACTGCCTCCTTTGGAAAGGCTCATCAGAAACTTAGAAGAATGCAACTGTTCGTCTCTCACCTACCTGTGACCTGGAAGCCCCCTCCTGGCTTCAAGTTGACCCACTTTTGCTTCTGGTTGTACCGGATCAAACCAGTGTTCATCTTACATATGTTGATTGATGTCTCCTGTCTCCCTAAAATGTATAAAACTGTCAGATACAGTCAGTTTCTCTTCCAAGGTTTGGCATGTTAACGTTCTTGTGTTTTGTTGTCGAACCCAACTTTCTTGTTCTCCATGCCTTCTTGCCCTTAGTTACTGTAAACAACCTTCCCCTTCTGTTCTAATCAGTCACTCACATCTGTTCCCTTGGTTACCTGCTCTGCACCCATTTCTCCCTTCGAAATCACACGTCCCACCGTTGTAACTCACAACCCCCTTCCCCCTTCCTTATTTGGGAAAATATTCACAAATAGCCAATCCGGTCAGTTTAGATCTTGAGGTCTGGCCCCAGCCCATGCCAGAGGTAGGGATTGGTCAGGAATAAAAACCCCGGCTTTCCTTTGTTTCGTGTGCTCTTGCGATTGTGATTGATGCGAGCAGCAGCACCCTTCCGCAGAGGTAAATTGCGTTGCTGATAAAGCTTTTACTTGAGTGCTGGTTTCACCTTGGGGCACCGAGCATTTATCTCCAACAAAACCAAGCTGTGCTCTGAACACCTTGGGCAACTGTCATCAGGACATCCTGAGGCTGTGTCACGCACAAGCATCCTGAACCCTGGCAAAATAAACTTTCTAAATACTCTTATTCCCAAATGCTCAAGGAGACAGATTTGAATAATCATAAAACTCCGAGGTTGCACTCCAGCCTGGGCGACAGAGCAAGACTCTGTTTCAGAAAAATAAAATAAAATAAAATAAAATAAATTAGATAAGATAAGATAAAATAAAAATCAAATCTCCTGTCTCCCGCACAGCCGACTCTGCGTGAATTATTCCTTCTCTATTGCTATTCCCCCAGTCTTGAGAAACCGGCTCTGTCTAGGTAGCGGGCAAGGTGAACCCACCGGGCAGTTACAGAATAGTTATTATATTGCTTGCAATTTTATAACTATATTATGCACAAATAGCTATAACCTTGTATACAAGGTTAAATGCGAATGTCCTCCTTGCGTGGTCAGATCCCAGCGCAGGAAGGACGCACCCCCTACAAACCGCTAGGCCAAAACGGTCATTCTGGCCTCATCCAGCCTCACGTGAGATCGCGATCTCCTGTCACTCTGGGCCTGAGGGGGCGGGGCCTGAAGCCCCATACAATCAGGGGCGCTGGGGTGGGGGCCGTTCAATCAGGCGCGCCGCCGGAAAGGAGAGGGCGGCTTCCGGGATCTGGCTGGCGGGCGCTTTGTCTCGCCTTCGCCACAGTAGGCTCTTTCTGTTAGTCTCCGCTGCTACTTCTTGGCTCTGGGAGGCCCAGGTGGCTCGGAAGCAGCCTCTGCCACCCTGTGACCTGCGGGTGTTGGGACATCCCTAGCTGACGCCGGGACACCCGGGAAGCCGAGGAATGGTGAGTGGACTGCGCCTGGCTTCCCGAAGTGGGGAAGAGGGCTGGGTGAAACCTGCTGGAACCAGCCATCGGCTGCGGAACCTGTGGACCGAGTCGCCGCGGCGCAGCCGGGCCTCAGTCCCCTTCTGCGCAGGGCCTGGCGGCGCGGGCAGCGGGACCCCTGCGTCCTGTCTGTACCTGTGGGCGCCACTTCCGCCGGCGGGAGCCCTCTAGGGAAGCCCGCGCCTCCCCCACCCAGGTAGTGCGGTGACCACGGGAGGGTGATCCGGGAGAGCCCTGA